CCTGAGATAGTAGCCTGGCAGACTGTGCATTGTGTTTAAAAAGGACTCATGATGGGAAGGATTTTGCAGGACCTTCTCTCTCTAATAAGTCCCATGTTTATGGAGTTTGGGGGATGATGATGATGATAATAATAATAATATTTCTGACCACATTAGGTACTTCGTTTTAGTCTTAATAGGTATTTTTTTCTGAAGTAGGAACACTGCTCTGTCACCAATGACTGGAACAAGGCAGTGTGTTATAGGAAGAAAGGAAGCACAAAAATCAGTGCTGTTACATAGATTGCAGGTAACCTTGCAGGTTGGCTACTGATAAGAGGCAGAAATAGGTCTACCACCTGACCTCTTATTTGCTTTCACTTCAAAATGCAAAAACAAACATTTATCTCAAAGTCTGTTTGGCTATCTGCAACAGCACAGCATAGATTCTCACCTAAGCTGGATGGGGAAACTTGAGAAATGAGAGGAGGGTGGCACTCAAATTGGCAGTTGGTCTTCTTGAATTTGCTGAATTTTTAAAATATTCCTCCAGCCTATACCCTATATTTTTAGAGAGCTGGTTCTAATATTCTAATAAATGACCTCTGATTAGCTTTATTTAAATGTGTTTGTTTCACTGAAGCTTTTGGAACTGAACCAAAGTAGTTTTCTTGTATACATGAAAGGTGTTGGTTAGTTGGGATTTATGTTCCTGTGAAAATGACACTCCTAGAGGAAAGGATTCTTATCTCCTTTCTTCACCATTACATAATACTGCTTTCCCTCATCTTTTTATTTTCCCCCAAATTTATGGTCTTCCATAAACAAGGCTGCTTTGCATTTATTTTTTTATTTTTTTTACAATTTATCTAGAAACTTAACAAATGATCTATCACAGCAAAAAAAGAACTTACAGCAAAACAGTATCTGGTACATTTGGTTACTCAATTAGTGTAAACTATAGCTATGGTATAGTATATAATGTCTTTTTTTTCAGGCTTTATGCTCTGTATAATTGTATCTCATTACCATTTTAGTTAGACATGTTAATGACTTTGTTTACTTCGCTGACCAAGCTAGTGGTCATGAGTCTGCAAAGGCTTACTCTTCAGTCTCTCAGAAATGGACCTTGGGCGGCCTTCTGCTTAGCCACACTTCTGCAGCTTGGCCTAGGGCCCTTGAAAATGGTCACAGCTGGGAACAGCGTCTTGTGCAAGTTTATTCACATTTGTTGGAAGGCACAAGAGGAGGATGAGGATGGGGATGAGAGAAGCCCCACTAAGTAGATGCAAGTACAGAGCAGAAAAGATAACTGAGCACACACAGGATAGCTTTGTTTTAATTGAACATGGATTCGGGGCTCCACCATTCAGAAAGGACATGGAAAAGCTTGAGAGAGTCCAGAGGAGAGCCATGCACATGATCAGAGGGCAAGAGAATAGGTCTTATGAAGATAAGCTGAGAGCCATGGGCCTCTTCACCCTGGAAAAGCGCAGGCTCAGGGGGGACCTGGTGCAGCCTATAAGTACATAAGGGGTATGCATCAGGATCTGGGGGAACATCTGTTCAACAGAGCGCCCCGAGGGATAACAAGGACCAACAGTCATAAATTCCTCCAAGACTGTTTTAGGCTGGACATGAGGAAACATTTCTTTACTGTCTGAGCCCCCAAGGCCTGGAATAGACTCCCTCCAGAAGTGGTGCAGGCACCGACTCTGTACTCATTCAAGAAACGTTTGGATGCTTATCTTGCTGGGGTCCTTTGACCCTAGCTGACTTCCTGCCCCTGGGGCAGGAGGCTGGACTTGATGATCTTCAAGGTCCCTTCCAGCCCTAATGTCTATGAAATCTATGGACAGCTAACATCCCTAAACACACACATTTATTTTAATTGCAGTTTGGGTGCCACAGGGCATGAACAAAACACTCAAAACTTATGTTTGGGGGTTTTGTCAGTACTGAAACTATTCACTGGAATTAATGCAAAAATCTAGAATGCTTGGTTCAGAGATGATATTTTTTATTATAAAAGGTATAATCACTGAACCAAGCGTTCTACATTTTTACATTTTTTGTCTTGGACCAACACAGCTGCCAAATACATCCCTGAATCACTGGAATTAGAAATTCTGCAGTCTGAAGTGCAAGCATATGATGTATCTAGGTTATTTCATGGATACCCAGACTTTGATTTCAAACCCATAAATACAGTAATTAACACTGTTATTGGTTCTGGGGCATTAAAAGCATTCTGCAAAGCCCATAAAAGACTAATGTTGCCAAAAGTAATAGTAGTTTTGAATGCCCAGCTAGATGCACATTTAGTGAGCATGTGCTGGTTTTTGTTCCAATAGAAACCAACTGTAAAGTTAATTAAATAAGGCTAACACGGAACATAATGAAAACCTACCACAAGAATAGGTTAGTGTGGTCCATCTCAATGGTAGTGCTCATTAAATACAGTCTGTCTTACTGCTGACTTTTTTCAAGCCATGGTGAGCCATGATATTGCACACAGTTTACCCAGAATCCATCTGTCCCCCATCTCTCAGCCTGGCACGTATGATTAGTGTGGGCTCATCCTCCACGAGACGAAGCTGGACCAGGCTCCCCCGCACCTCATCCACATATAAATTTTTGGAGCATCCCAGGACTCATGACAAGGGCACCCATCTCCAGACGTGAGTGGAGGTTAATTAGCACATGGGTCCTTTGTGGGGGGTGGAGGTTTCTGGAATACACATATGCACCTGAGCAGTGCCAAGCTGCGGGATCAACTGGGCTTGAAATGTTGTTGACTCTGGTCCAATAATAAAACTGTGGAAAATAGTGAGCCTTTGGCTTTGGACTCGTATAATGCATAGTTTGTACTACATAGCTTTTTGACCTTTTGGCTAAGATCAAGGCAGGGGGCCATCTGAACCCCAAGGTCTCCAGGCCTACAGCTTACATGTAGCATTCCTGCCTCTAGTTGGGGAATATCTGTAACCCCAGACAGATGGGTCTGGGAGAGAAGATACTTGCCCAGTGGTAGTGCCATACAGACTTGATAATTGAGCTCTGCTCAGTTGAATTTTGGAACTTGACTAGTAGGCTTTGCCTAATTCAATTTGGAACTGATTTGGCCTTGAACAAGATAATAAAAAATGCATAGTTTATACTACATATAAGTGGGTACATCCACACTGGAAATTGCAGCACCTGAATAAACTGTGGAGCTTAATTGCTCCAGAGTTAAGTGCTCCCAGGTGCACCATTTGAACTTGTGCCTGGGTGTAATTAATTCAAGAGCAGTAAGTGCTGCAATTTATTCAGGCACAGCATGTGAGGCCTGGACAGGACAGCCCTGGCTGGCAGGGGGCCCCATGAGTCAGCCTACCAACCTGGGGCTGCTCCCCTGAGCTCAGTGTGCTGCAGAAGGCCTGGCTGGGACACAAGGGAGCTTCAGTGCAAAGCTAGCCAGCAGGCAGCCCTGCACTGAAGCACCCTCATGCCCCAGCCAGCTGGGCAGCATCTATATCTGCACTGCTGTGGAGTAAATAATTTTACTCCAGCCTAATAGGGGCACACATGTAGATGCCAAGACATTTACTGCACAACTAGTTAGGCAACTGCACATTAAATGTCTTGTGTAGACACACCCAGTAGGTGCTAAACTGCTGCTCAGAAGTTTGTATGGAGTAGCTATGCTAAAATTTACAGTTTAAAAAGCTGACATACAGTAAATCTAGATAAACTAAGTGCATAGGTACTATATGCAAATTTCTACAGTTGTGTTTAATTTCAAGGTTATTATTTTCACATTTGCTTCTCACTTCCATGTGCTCAGGGTGAGCAGAGTCTGACAGTGAGGAGAGGGGGAGGGGAATGCCAGGTGAAAAAGTTTTTGGCGGGGGGGACAGAGAGCAAAGGGCTACTTGACTCCCCAGATTTATTTTCCCTGTTGTAGCAGTGAGAGGCAGAAAAATTCAAGGGAAACCCCCAGTAATTAGATTCTATACCTGGAAAATGGTTACACATTTATAGTTTCCATATATAGAAACTAATTATTGGGGGGGGGGTTGTCTATAATCAGAACTGTCTTCTATTTGAGTAAGTTCAGTATTTCATAGACTCATAGAATAGTAGGGTTGGAAGGTACACCTCAGAAGGTCATCTTGTCCAACCTCCTGCTTGAGGCATGACTGTTTCTGACTAAGCTATCCTGGCATGTGTCTGTGTAACATGCTTTTTAAGCCTCCAAGGATAGAGGTTCCACAACCTCTCTGGGTCATTTGTTTTAAAACAGTGGGCAGTGAATGGCAGGGGTAAGACCTATACCTCTGGCCCAGCCAGTTAACATCAGGTAAAATTCTGGAGGGGTACAGAGGGACCTAAAGTGAAATAAGTCCTCCTCTGTAAAGTGCTCTGACATCTGTGGATGAGAAGTGCTATGTAAGAGCTAGATAATACTATAATCCCTGGCTCTGGCACAGAGAGAAGTCCTAGCAAGCACAGCAAGGTGTACAGATACTTTCTGTGAACCTGTCCTGGTGTGTGTCTTGAGGAGCAGAACGGGCAGCTGTGTCTTGCAGGCACCCTGTCAGCCTAGGGAAGTTCCTATGACTGGGACAGACCTTCATTTTTTTTTTCTGCCAGGCCTGCTTTGACTTCTGGAGCATGGGGAGTGATTTCAAACCCTTTCCCAGGCTAGGAGCAAACCCCAAGAAGGAACTGGAAGAAAAAAAGCCGTTGCAGTTTTTCATTTGGTTACAGCAGAATTGTCCTTTCTTTTAACACCCAGGTTAAATTTTAACATTTTAAAGCAAATCTTTATCCAAAATAGACAAAAATAAGAATTTCCACTGCTATTCTGTGCAGGGACATGGCTATTGTAAAAAAAGCCCCAGCAAGAACCACCAGCAAGGTTGAAGCACCAACTGATACCCATTTTGACCACAAGGAGGCATAAGCATGCCAACATTGTGGAAGCCTGTGTAAGGTTATAGAGTATCACAGTTGCAAAAACTCACAACAAAGTCTCTTTTAAAAATGTAATTTAATCCATTAATTCTACAGCATTGTCATCATACACATCAGCACAATACTTTAGTACATTGGACAGATATCCAAGAAAGATGCAGTAACCCAGCAATATTATTTTGTTAAAAAACAAACAAAACTAAGGATGTAACAAGAAAAAATATTGGTAATAATTAACAGCAGGTTAATTGAATAAACTTATTTCACTACTTTTCATTATCAAGTTAAAGGCACTTATCAAGTTAACAAAACTCCAATTTGTCTAGGCTTCCTGTCCCAAGTGCCCTAAAATCTAAAAATCTAGAGTTGACTAAAGGCCAGATTTTGATCTATGTTAAACTGCTGTAAATACAGAGCAACTCCACTGAAGTCAACAGAGAACACAAGATAGCTAAGATCAAAAGGTGGTCCTTGATGTGCAAGCAGTGTTAAAAATTGTTAGCTCCTGCAAGTCATTTTGGTTAGAAGCAAGTGTTTCTTGTCACAACTTGTCTGCACTGATAAGGTCAGCAAGTCTCCTGGCATTTGGATGGCATAGTGACTGCAAATAACAGGCCCAATTCTCCTCTCACTGGTGTCCACTTTGCACTAATGTAAGTCCAAGATAACTCTACTAAGATCCAAGCATTACATCAATGAAGCTGAGAGCACAATCAGGACCACAGTCTCTGGGTCAACAGCTATGTGTCTTTTGCTGCTCCCAGTTGTCAATAAAACATGCTGCCTAGACCAGATGCATCTCTTTCCCCAAAGCAATGCACAAATTTTCATTTGGGAGCCCCTTTGTTCCAATTATCTCATAGCAATGAACCAAAACAAATAAAGCAGGGCAGGCTCGCTGTGTGCCAGTGCAGAATGGATAGCTGTCGTGTGAGCAGTGCTGTGCAGATTATGTCATCTTCCTGCAGTGTTGAGTGCTATAGTGGGCCACATTTGGAGGGCAAGTCATTAGCTACTGTTGAATTAGAGCCCAAATGCTCCCCTCAGGCACTCAGGAAGGGCACAGATTGTGCTTATTCTATAGGAGCCAAAGGGGGAGTACCTGAATTAGGACCGAGTGAAGATTGAGTATTAACAGAGATCAGACTGCCCACTCCCTCATAAAGCTTTGCAGAATGGCCTGGGATGCGAGCAAAAACTGTGGGACGTGCCCCAAGATTTCTTACAGTTTCCCAAGCATTTCTGGTTGAGGAGATGGGGCAGGATTAATTGACTAGCAAAAGAAAAGGGTGAGGGTGAGTGTGGTTGACTGCTAGGTCTCAATTCAGTGTCAGGGCCTCCCACCCCTGTTCCTAGACAACCAGGAGGCTTCTTTGCGGTTAAGCCTTGGATTCTGTCACCCTCTGGAACAACTACTGGAGGGAGTTTTGTGGCCTTAGGCAGTATTAAGTTTTGAGGACATTTCCTGGCATTTCACTGGAGAGGAGGGAAGACTATGTGCATTTTCCTTTCTTATTGCATGCATAAATATGTCCCCCATTAAGGGTACTTTGTGGAGTCAAGGACCATGCTGTGGCTGAAGTGTTTTTCTTCACCCCCCAGTACTGGGTGGGAAAGTGAGATCTACCTATTTCAGCAAACAACCTAAGCACGGACCCTGGTATTTTCCATCTCTGAAAGCCAAGAGAACTCTGCACTTTGGATGGCTCGAGTGAATCAGAAATCTGATACGGAAAAGGCCTGATAGGTTATGGAGCTCACCCACCTTTTAGGGAAGGATTGTTCCATATAATTTATTTTCTAGTGCACCATGAAAAAGCAATGCTTTTCTAAAGTAGCTTGGTCTAACACTTGTAATCTGGGTGCTCCCTGCTTTCTAACAAATGGATAGAACAGAGTCCCTCCTAGGGATATACCTTTTGGTTTGACACAGGCTTGTGACTTCAATTATATTTAATAGCATTTGTGCATGTACATTGCAGGAAAGGCTGCCCATTAAATGTTCAACTCTACACCTAGCAGGAAATTAATGCTTTATAATAAATCAATACATAAGGACCGAGGGTTCAGTTTCTTCTAGAGCACAACAGCACTTGCAGTCAATTTGCCAGAGACATTCAGTTTTGCCTTCAAGTTCATCCAGCTACACCACTCATGAGATGTAATTTGTCTCAACTGCACGTTAATTTTACTATAGCACATCAGTAGTGTAAAATAATCTGCGAGTCTTATCACAAATGAAGTTGCATTTGTGAGGTGTTCAGCACTACTGTAGCATTACTATCATATGTTATTACACACACCTAGAACGTACCAAGGTTGTTGTTATTTTCTTTTAAAGCTTAAGCCAAGGCTTTCAAATTTGGGATCTCAAACATATTATTTAAATCCACATTTAGAGATCTAAATAAGTGGCCTGATTATTAAAAATGCTGAGTATGCACAATGTCTTTAACAGAAAATGGTGGCTGCTCAAAACCTTTAAGAGAGCGGCCACTTATTTAAGCATCTACATTTTGTGGCCCAATTTTGACAATTTTGGCCTTGGAGCACTGAAAACATGGACATTTTATAAAGCAGAAATATAAAAACACCAGAACCCACAACAGTGTCAAGACAACCAGAAGACATAGGGAAATTAACACCCCAAATATTTTTTTTCTGCATAGATTCAAAGAAAGCAAAATAAATAATCTTAGTTTTACATTCCTATCTTATATGTATTCCCTATGCTAGCTCAGCGGTTCTCCAGCTCCTTAAGTATTGTGGATCACTCCTTAATAGATATACTCCTGGAAACTTCCCCCTTAACCATTTCTTCATCTGAATCCCAATTCAAATTTTGATCAGGAGACAAAACAATCTCAGGACAGAATTATGAAGACAAAATGTTCTTGGCACATTTCCATATTTTGTACTTGTGCTATTCATTCCCTCTCTGGATACCCAGAAGCTGTGCAGGGGTGTAGTTTTCAAGGGAATCCAGTACTGGCCTCCCTCTTTTCCCATATGAATCAACAGGAGTAATACTAACATCATTGAACACTTCTAAAAATCCCACTTTGTTTTTTCAGTTCTAAATCCCTCTTTGGTGTCTTTCAGCAGCCTTGACTTGCTTTCATCTCTCCAAGTGAATCTGCATTTTTGTTGCAGCTTTTCCCTGTATGCTGCCCCTCTACACTCAGTGTCATCTTTAGCTTCAAACTCACAGCAACACCAGAGAAACAGCATCACAAAGTGGTCATGCAGAGTCTATATGATTATTCAGTTGAAAAATGAAGTTTTGGAGTAGACAACAAATGGCAGACAGTGTCAGATATCAGGGACTGACAAGTGCTTCACCAGAAATAGGCAACTGCACTATGTGATCCACAGAATGGTCTGAAAACCACTGAGCTAGCTTCAACTAGGCAAAAAAAATGTAGTGGCAAGTTCAGAGCAATGACATTCTTCCAGGTAAAGGAAAAAACTGAACATTTTCCTCATGGAAAGCTGCAGAACAGTACACACTTTGCAGCAGTAAAATACAGAATGTGCACCAGTGCTGGGAAGTGTGAGGCATGGTATGCCTATTGGCGTAAAGGCAGTTGCCAACTGGAGACCACACATACACCCCAAAGAAATTTCTTACAAAAAAAGTGGGGGACTACAGCAAGATTTTCTTAAAAACAGGCCCAAATTCCATGAGTTCAGTGTTTCATTTGGAGACTGCATAATTTCTGTGAAACGGAATTTTATAAAATACATTCTTTGTATGGGGTAAAATCTGAATGTGTCACTTACTTCTATGAAAGCAACTTGAATATATTGTTAGACATAAACTTGACTCGAGAAAAATCTGTCATAAATTAAAAAATAAAAAATGTAAAAGAACCTGATTTGCATGATGTAACATTGTAGCTTCTGGCTACTACTATCTAGACTGGAATGGAGAGACTGATGTGGTATTTCAGCATTAAATCAAATAAGTTCAAGAGAGAACAGAGTTATTGGTTTGTGTAGCCAGTTCTTCTGCAAATGCAGAGTAGTGCCCAGGAAAGAGGCTATATAAAAGGTACATAGCTGAGGGAACAGACACTAAATGTGATCTTGGCCCAACAAGGTAGAGAAGCGATCAGTTACCACACATAATACATTTAGTGTCGGTAGAAGTCTTAACACAGATTTTTATATTTTTGACAGTTATATTAAAACAAAAACAGCACCCCCCACCATGTGTGCCTGTTGATTCTAACAATAGTCACATATTAGGTCTCCCAGTGAATGTTTTATATAAGAATATCTTAAGTCCATGTCATCCATCCTTTATGAACTTACAAATAGGTCTGTAAAATTCTGTCCTGTCTCCATACCTTTTTATGTTATAGAGCCTTTTTTTTGCCTTTCTGGTGATGAGAAATTAAGTACTGCACATTTAGTAGGATGAATATATTACTGGTGCATCACCAAAGTCAACCACTAGTGAACAAAAAGACATATCATATGAAACAATTTCTTAATTTTTATTTTACATATTTATACATAAAACTTTCAAGATAACTCTTGAATCCAACTGAATGTTAATAGCACATCTAAAAATGAATGTCAGGTAATCAACATTCACAAAATGTTGAAAACTGATTAAAATATACATATTACTGAAAGCTACAACTTCACTACGAGGCAGGCATGTATTTTTTGACTTGTATAGCACCGTCAATTACAGTTTCTTTGTTTAAAACTACAGTGAAGAATAAAAAGTAGTCAATGGTAAAATATTGTTCAACTTAAAATCTCTAAACAAACAAAAATAAAAGTTAAACTACCCTCTCCTCTTATCCTTGACTTATAATAAGTACTGTACACTTTGTAATAATAATATTAAAATGCCTGATATTTAGTGGCACAAGTAAAAAAAATTAAAATAAATTAAGTAGCAGAGGCCAATCACTGGACATAAAGCTTCAGACATGATCAATGACTAACACTGATTTTCTTGTGCACCACCTTGAGCATCAGCATTTGTACAACCACAGAAGCAAAATCAATTCTAGCTTGCTCTCTAGTCTGATGGCTTCTCATGTTATTTTGCTGGCATTTTCTCTGCCATGTGCTTCTGCTGACTTTCAGCATGTCTGGGGAGGGGAAAGAAAAGCTGTTACTTACTACCTGGGGGGGAAAAAAAATCACAGTAGATTAAGAGGGATTAGTCAACATCTTAAATATACTCCAAATCAGGAAACAAAGAAATGGCTTCCTTCAGTGAAGAAAAATACAGAAAGTAAAGATTCAGTTATTTAGTTAACATTAACTCAGTATAGCATTCCTTTGATAAACAGAACACAATCCTGACATGCACAACACATTGAAAGGAAATTTCTCAAACAAAAGGAAATTCTTACGCGTCCTATAACACTTTTTTATGTGGGTTTTGTTTTGTATTGTACTAACTTCCTCCTCTTCCCAAAGAATGTTTTTCAGAAACAATTCTAGGATGTGGCAAGGTGAAGTTAGCCAGGACACTGCATCCTTTATCTTGCAACAGAATGGTGTAATATCTCAAACTGGAACAATGAAATACAGTGTACAGAAGATATCCACAGCCTCCTAAATATTTAAACAACTTAATTCACTAATCTGATGCAAATTACTTTAGATTGAAGAGATATTTTCAGAAGTGTAGCCCCACAACATACCATACTCACATTTTCTTATCTGTTTGTGGATTGACTGTAATGGGCTTTGAAAACCAACAATATCTAATCAAGTTGCATACAAAATTTTAATCAAGACTGTCCTATAAAATGTCCAAGGAAATAGAGGCCATTTTCACTCTGATTCATTTGTTTTAAAGGCTCAAAGCCATTTTGATAGTTAACAATCTCATAGTCTTAATTTCAGGTAAGGTGCCAGACAGTCCAAAAAGCTTCCTTCAGTCATTATAGGTCTGTTCAAATCTGTTCACTGCAGGCACAGAGGTCTCTTGGGCAGGCATTGATTAACCAAGGAGAAAAGTGCCTAAAGGCCAAATCCAAACCCTCCTCCTTGAAGGATTTCCTAACACAGTAGTGCTTACACTGGGTGGGTGGAAGCCTGGTATCTGTGAAGGTATAAAAAGGAAGTATGTAGATGGCACAGCCCAGAACCCTAATCTGAGGAAGTTCCCTGCAGCATGCAGGAACGGACCGGGAATCACCAGTAGGCAAGTTCTGAAAACCTGGAGAGTATACCAGTCCAAAGCCGGGCAGAGAATTTGGGTAAATAAAAGTCAGATTTTCTGCATAAAGATCCACTGTAATGCATTTGAGACCTTAAAGAGACTAACTGGTGTGTCTCAGAAAGGAGATATTTCTAATTGTTCAACTCTACTCTTAAACCCAAATCAGCCTCAGTTTAATGTTGATGGCCACATAGTACACTGGGGTCTTATTTCAGCATTCATGTGATGGCAATACCAAAAAAGCTGACAGATGTGGCATGAAAACTACTAATCACATATTTGACTCAACTGTACTGCAGCCAATAGACTTCATTATGACCCCAACTTTTCCCACGTACTAGATCGCTCCATTTAATCAAATATAATGCAACAGAAGACATTTAAAAAAGGGACATATTTTTGACCATTCACTCCTTCCCTACAATGTCAAAAAGGAATTCTGAAAAGAGCTTTTTAAAATAGACTTGATTTGAAAAATGTTTAGACAATTTTTAAAAACTTTAATACAAGCAATTTTTAGCATCCCATAAAATTATGTGTGGGTACTTTAATATTACAATTCAGAAGCTACTAGTTATGCTCCTTAGAGAATGGAAATAGAATTTTATCAAATACATTCTTTGTAATAATCAGTTTTTTAAAACTTTGTTATGTAAGCTTCACATAAGAAAGTACTGGGTCAAGACCACAGGTCCATCTAGACTGGTATCCTGTCTCACAGTGGCTGCTAAGGGAAGGAGTATTTACGCAGGTCCTTTAAAATCTTTTAGACAATTACTCATGATCATAACATTGTACAGATTAGAAATATCCCTTACAGCATGTAAAATATGACAGGTTAGAGATAAATATCTTTTGGAAACCATGTCTATTTTATGGCATGTTTTTTCTTAATCTACTACTAAGCATTTAAAAATTCCTATATCCTTCCAGAGTTTTTCGATGGTTTCCCTCCTTTAGCTTGCACTTCATAAGCCCTAATGTTGGCACTTGCTAGGGATTTCAAATTTAGATTGGCTTTTGGATGTGTCAAGAGTTTGGACTGAACCATTATGTAAAGCACTAAAACAGTCTCATAAAAGCTGCTATTTTTCCTCCAAAGAAAAATGAGAGCAGAGTTTTGGTTTTTAGGAATGTGGAGGTGGAATTGCATTTGAAAAACCACTGATACTTCTTAGCAGAAAGTTTCTGAATGTATTTGGGATTGTCTGAGACTGAATTTCTTACCTTTATGGCAGAAACGGCTGTATAATATTAAGTTTATGAGGACTCCACTGCAAAAAAGACAGCATGGGATAACAGTCTCATTGCCTGGTTTCATTTGTCTTATCTGTGTCTGCAGGTAGAGTCTATAAAAAAGTCTATGTGATCTTATGCGAGAGGCAAGGATTTATTTGGGTGATGTCTTTTATTGGATCAGCCTGCATAGCTGGGATAGTTAGACAAGCTTTTGAATGCAAGCCATTCTTCAGTTCTGAGGTTTTTCTCCTCAGACCTCAAGAAGAATGACTTGCATTTTGAAAGCTTGTCTAACCTTATCCTAACTATGCAGGCAGGTCTCATAACAGACATCACCCAAAGAAATCCTTGCCACTTACATAACTCCTAGACCATCATAGCTATGGTACCACTTTAAAAACAGCATAACACAGAATATATCAAATCATTCATTGTATCTGCCGAGATGAGTAAGGAGGATAAAGCATACACTCAGAGTGATGACAGAATAACTTGGCAAATTAACTCAGAGATTCTATTTCTTAAAATATTATGGAACATGAACTGGGGTGATGAAGCAAGAAGGAAAGTGCAACAAGAAATAAAGCCAAAGGGAAAAGGTGAGAAGGGGCAGGGGACAGGGAAAGAGTGAAGTGAAGGGGTAGAGGGCTTATGAGGGTGAAAATGGTCAAAGCAATTAACCAGAGAGGAAAGACCATCAAGAGCCAGAACTGAGGAAGAAAACAGTATCAAATGATATGACTGATGGTTAAGGGGCTGAGAGTCAGTCCTACCCCCAGGAAGGAACTTGTTGTGTCCCTATTCCTCCTCTCTAGCTAAAGTTAACCAAATAGCAGTCAGCTCTGATGTGTTATTCACACTGCAAGTTCTTTTAAACAAAACTGGCTTGGTCTTAGATGTGAAGCATGTCAAGGAATAAGGGGGAAAAAAAAGCATTTTTATGGTGAATCACTACTCAAGAACGATTAAACAGAAGTTACTGCATTGATCTGTAATTGCTCAATTGTTATTTGTTGATTTAAGCAGTCAAATGGTTCCGATGCAAATTTATTAACAAAATAAGTGACAGCATTGTAAATTTCAATACAAATATATAATTAGTGATCAAAGCAGTATTTAAACAATTTTTTATGATACTTAAAACATGTCTACCTAGATGACCCCCTGTGGCAGTGGTCCAGAAACTTTTTAAAGCTGTGGGCTGGATTGACACCATTCGGGTCAGGGGTATGTAAGGCAGGCTGGGATCTAGTCACTACTACCACTTTTCCCTGTGGTGGCACAGGAAAAGCACCTACAGCCAGTGATTTTCCCCTGTGGTGGCAGGGGAGTGTGCATCTGCAGCTGAAGCCCCCTGCTGCTGAATGCCACTGAAGCCCTACATCTGTGGGCCAGATCTAATGGCCAGATCTGACCCAGGTGTGATAGGCTGCTGACTCCTGCACTACAATATTTGGCAGATGAAAGTTCTGTTCATAACTGCTGCTGTGAAGGAGTGTATGAATATAAGGATTACCCATCACTACAAGCCAAAATACAAAACTTAGGTGCAGCAGTTGTTAGCAGCAGAATACCATAAGAAAATGTTACTAACCTGGTCAAGTCTTCAATGTCTACCAGCATTGCATCCTGCTCTGTGTGCAATTCATCTCGAATAAGTAGCAGCTGCACCAATTCTTCATTCAAGCCTGATACCAGAGAAAAAGGAGTTTAATTTCATTTAACTGCATCCCTGTGAATAACAGGTGTGGAATGTGTTCGTTAGTCCTTTAACATAGTAAACAACAGCTCGGAGGGAGTAGGTGATGTGTTTACCAGTTTTGGTTTTGGTTTGTATAGAAGAAAGCATGTTAGGTAATGCAGTAAAAGCAGTGGCTATTCTTATTACTAAACAAAACTGTAACAAATACAGAAGTGAGTCTTCTACCCACTATTAACTATGATGGGTCTCGTGAAATGACTGAGTTTAGTATCCTGAACCCTAAGGACCAGCTCAGTGATTCTCAACAAGGTTGCGATGACATCTTGGGATGCTGTGAGATCCTTTTAAGGGTGGCATCCAGTATTTGCACTGTTAGGTGTGCAAGAATCAACACATGTTTAACACGATAAACCCAGAGATTTCAAATATGAATGCACAGTGCCAAAACCTTCCTGTCCTGTTGTGGTCTGAATTCTTCGCAACAGAACTATTCTTTTTTTCCATAGTTTAAAAAAAAGAGGAAGCTAAGAGCTGGCATTTTCTGATGGATGTCTGAGTCTAAAAGGGCTGAGAACCACTGGTCTAGCTAGTCTGTTTCCTTCAAGTGAGAGTCTACAAGGCTTGGGTTTTTGGGCAAAGTAAAATGTAGGTGCCAATAAAAAATAATTGGTTAGGACAAAGTGTGTGAAAAATTAACCACCACCAATTTAAAAAGAAAAATGTTAGAGCACAGTGGGCATCTTTATATGTACTCCGGTGGGTGGGTGGTTTAATTAGTTCAGCTCTTGGGAACCACTCTAATTAAAGCGCCTGCTGTGTCTTGTGTATTCAGCGTCTCATGCTTCAAAATGGTGGTGGGGGTGCTTTAACTAAAGCTTGTTTAGCTTCAATGGCACCACCATTTTGAAGCACAAGGCTGAATACACAAGAAGCCAAGACTCCTAGAGTGAGCTAATTAGCATGATCCACCAGACTTAATAAATTGAGTCTGAGATGTCCTGCACATCTACAGGTACCATTTTTGATGTGTAGGGGGTGCACGTGCACCCCCTGAGCTTGGCGGTGTACTCCCTACAAAAAGCGCTGCTGGCCTGCAGGTGCTTGCACTCGCTACCTCCCCCTCACCGCCGACGGTGTCTGTGGGTGGTCCCTGATCGCTGCTGGCCACCACTACTACTGGTGGCATCTGAGGGTGGTCACCAACTGCCGGTCAGCGCTCGTCACCACCCCCCTTCCTGCCACTGACAGCGCCTCCACCATTGCCTGCAGGAGTTTGCTGTGCCCCCATAGCCTTTCATGACAAGTACCCAATGCATTTCAAACAACTCTCTCCTGCTGAATGCCACTGTGACTGCCCTATAGGGCTTGTGCTGTCCTTTTGCCCAGAGAGATCTGCACCTTGATCTGAAAAGGGGTCTTTTCTGTTCAAAGTGTAAGAGGACAAATGGAAGAGTGAAGAAAGAGGGCAACATTTCAGATATCTCAGGTAGCTCAAAGAGCTGTGCTTTAACAAAGGGAAAGCAAAGCAAAATAGACTTGTGGTAAGAGCAACACTCCTGAACACTGCAACAGGCTTCCTGAACTCCTGAAGTCTGTAATTAAAACCTGTGGTTTGCGTGGTTTCACGTCTAATTCCAGGGTAAGGATTTTACTGAATTTGAGCAAAAATAACACTGACATGCCACTGTAGTAGCACTTGGTAACAATATCAAATGTTCTGGGACAGTGATTCTGCTTTGCATGTAATGCAGGATACCATATGTCAGAATAGAGTGCAGGGTCTCACGTACATGGGGTACATAAGTGTATCAGAAGCCAGGGTGTGACTTGACCACTGGTGACTTGACCTGGTAGTCATACAGTGACTACTCTGCACTAACTTCCATTACAGTGCACTAAGTATGAGGTACTTTGCTGCACATTTAAAACTTTCTTTGCAAAAAGAAACTTGGGCCTTTTTGTTTGGTTTTGTTTATTTTACCTCTAAGATGCTGGAGAAACACTTACAAATGGGAAGGTCCTGTGGCGTGCAGTCCACAAGAATAGAAGTGATGCCTAAATGCAATTTTAGAAATAAAAGCTATCAATATAGGCTGAAGTTCTACTGTGGTTCACTGAATGCCCCACTCAGGAAACAAACTTAACTGAATAAAAGTACAGCTAATGTTGAATTGCTGTTATGTGTGGCATTCTCAATGACGTCTTTTTATGCACATCAGCTGTTATCTGAGCCTATGAACAAGGATTCCAAAAAAACACAGCCCTTTTTGCTGGACTTCAGAGAAAAATTACTTGCACTTGACTCAACTGCTCAGCATCTTCAGCAGATGGCTATAGGGTCCTTTCATAAGTGACACTAATTAAAGAACACAGGGAGCTAAGGAACAGTACAGTAGTGCCCAACTAATAAATTCAACCTAAAGCAGTGGTTCTTACCTTTCTTAGACTTGAAGCACCCCTGGATAGACTCAAGGCATTCCTTGGAAAATGTCAGCTCTTACTTTTCTCTCATTTTTTACTATAGCAAAACATCAGAGCATTGTTTTTGTTGTAAAGAACCCAGAGAAAAACTACAATTATTGATTTCTCTTGTAAAGTTTGGGGTTTACCTTGTGAATCGTGTTTTCAAACCTGACAGTGCTAACATTGGGTGGCACCTGTGGAAGGATCAAAAGGCACCCCAAGTGTGCTGTGGCACCCTGGTTGAGAACTGCTGAACTAGAGCCCCCATAGCACCCTACTCCAATAGCAATTAATTCTGAATGCTAGAAGTTGTATCCAATGGAGAGGCTAAGGAGAGATTATGAGGCAGGGTACTGTCATCCCATGCACATACAGGAACCCATTAAAAACATTGCTGAAGTATAATGTTTGATTAACAAAATAGGGGATGTATTTTGTTAATGTTTCTGATGCAAGGCTGGATGAAGGAAGTGAAGAAAACAAGAGATGAACATATTGGAAACAGTCAAACAGAAAAGGTTTGCGTTGTATCCACTGCCATAGAATAGTGACTGTTTACCCATATCCTGTACCACAAACAGTTCGAAAAAGCAGGTTTTCCTTTCCACGTAGAGAGTCAAACAAACTACGTTCTACATAAAGAGTCATACACTTCATGCAGGTGTCAGATAAGTTTGAAACAAATGCAGAGATTCAAATTAAACTTTTTTATGTTTGGATGTTGAACAAAAATATCCTGGTTCTTCTGAACAGGTGCTGGGAACCCCAAACTTTCACTGACAACCAAGCAACCAGCTGGGACATCAGATCTTGCAATAGCTGTGCCCTACTTTATTGGAGCTAGCCAACATTTTACTGGATCTCTCACTGTAGATCAGAAAGGAAAGAAAATTTAGTTTTTTAACCTATCAAATCTTGCTTAACCAAATGAATTGACATCCTCAATAAGGTAGAATGAATGTGGTTCAAACTAATTTTAGGGACTATCCATAATGTACTAACCACTGCATTTAATTTTGTCACAAAAATAAATATGACTTTTACTTGTGAGTGTTATATATAAATTAACATAGACAGTATTTTCTTCCCTTCAATGGCAATAACCTCATCTTTATTCATATACTACATTACCGTAGCCTATTTAAGGGGAACTACAAAAGAATAAATACCACTTACTTTCTATCTGTGAATGGAGATCATTGACTATCACTTGTAGCTGCCCGATAGTCATATCTCTCAGATCTGTGGGTTTTAGACTTCTTTTCATCAGGCATTCACTTATATGAGGCATGTGTGGCAGCTAAAGATATGTGGTAGATTTTAAAAAAAACAACTTTTAGATTGTTAGCACTTCAAATGATTCATATTTTTTGATAAAATGATGAAAAATGGGCATTCCATAGGACTCTCTTTCTCCAGCCCCTTCCCCACAACAAACACACACACTACTTCATAAACTAATCTGAGTCTTCCAAAATGAAAACTTCTGATTGATGCCAGCATTTTAAAACTCACCATCACAACGTAATACATATATTACTATGTATTACGTTGTGATGGTGGGTTTTGAAATGTTGGCTTTAAACATTGATCAGAGGTTTTCACATATATTATATAATGACAATGTGATATAACTTAGAAAGCAATGATGAAGTTAAGTAAAATTATTTAAATACTGTAATATTATTCAGAATCATTTTTGGAAAGACCAAAGAAGAACTGACTGTTATATGATGATGTCCTAAATATACTCATCCTCAATGTAATCATAACCTTCAAGCTTTATCATTTCATTTCCTTCACAGATAGCACTTTATAAATGACCTAATAAAACAATCCATCATGACTCTGCAACTACTGATTGAAATTTCATACCTGAATCTCTTGGCTTGCAACCAGGGACATACAGTAATTGCAAATATACTTTGCCATATGTGAATACTCTGGACTAATCCATATCCAAAACACTAAGAACTAACTTTTACAAAATTGTGTAAATACAGCTCAGTGTCAACACATTACCACTATATAAATTCTGACGATGCCTGAATGAGGCAGGCTTCAAATTAAATAGAAAAAATAAATTGAAAAAATGCATAGTCCTTCCCTTTTCCATGACTTAACTGGCCAGTTATAAAATAAGATAGAACTTTAATTTTCAACAAATTTCATGCATAACAAAAATGAGCTGGCTGACCATTCAGTCTTCACAATAGTTATAAAATACAGAATAGGAGACATTTATCTGAAAACATATGGAAACCATTTCTGGTTTATGCTTGCAGGTCTGGTATTAAAATATTACTACATTATAGTCATTCTTCCAACTGATACAGTAAAGTCTTTAAAACATGCATCCTGTCCCCAACCCACATTTTTTCTTTTCTTTTTTTTTGGGTGGTCTTATTTCCATTTCTGCTTAGCAGAATTTTGTTTTGTGCTGACTTTACTGTATCTTCTGTCATAGGGCTGTACGTATGTTTGTGAGTATGGGCAGTAACAACTATATTTTGCTCTAGTACAAACATTAATGAAAGCTCATGAAACCCAGTTCTCAAAAAATTGATGTCTTGCGTTGGCGGGGGAGAGGAGTCCATGTGATACACAAATAAATACAGTATTTTCATCTGTGTGCACTATTACATGCACACACCCATGCAAGCAAAAACTTCTCTAACTTCTAAGGCTGTTTGGCTATACTTCATTATTATACAATGTTGAATATGGCCTTGATCCTGAAAACATTTCCTACAGGAGCAATGCTTAATTTAAATAAAGTTCTGAGTGGCAGGAAGCCTGCTCAGTAAAATGCATTTGCAGGATGTCACCTTAAATCTAGATAAGAAAAGTAGGGCTGAAAGGGAGGTCAACTAGCTCAACCTCCTGCATGAGGCAAGATCATACTTATCCAAACCATCTTATACAAATCCACTGTCTAACCAAGTAGTTCCCAATTTTTTTGGGCTTGCTGGACTCGTGGCACCGTTCCATAACTTAAGTAAATGAAGTGGTAGCCGTTTTCAAAACTTAACATTGCTTGCTTCCTTGCAGAGGGGCTTGAACAGTGGAGATGAGGGGTCCAGCAAGGCATGGACAAGCCTGAGCCTGCATTTAATCTGCTCATCTGCTAATACCTCACTTATCTCCTCACACCTTGGGGCACGCCCCAGGGTGCCACAGATCCCCGGTTGAGAATCATGGGTCTAACTCAGGGGTTGTCAACCAGGGGTACGTGGGAGTGGGGTTGGAACACTGCCACCCCGTGCCACTGCCTCACATGAGCAGGGCCACACAGATGCTGTGCTGCCACTGCTCATCACAACCCCGCTCTGCATCTGGCCACTTGCTACCTCTCCCCTCCCCCCCGTCAGCATCCAGCTGCTCGCCCCACTCTCCCCTACTCTGCATCTGGCCGCTTGTGCCCCCCCCCCCGGGCTACACTTATTAAAAAGGGGGCTGCTGGGGGTACACTTATTAAAAAAGGTTGAAACCCCCTGGTCTAAACTATTAGCAAAACTACAGTCAATGCCGACAACCACAAGATGGAACATCCTAATTTGCCACAGATAAAGCAGGGGAACCATGGGGGCCAATTTCCTTCTGCTTCAAAGGTTGTTAAAATACATTGGAGAGATCCACGGAAGGCCATTCACCCCACTTTATTATGTGGAATGTATTTTCTATACTTGTTCTGCCTCTAATTAATATTAAAATATTGACTTACATTCAAGTATATTAAGTGTATCTTTGTACATAAAAGTTTCTTTGTCAAACAACTTTGGATGTTGGATGCAACGGTACAAAATTGTGATAATAAGAAAAAATAGTTGAAATTAAAGAGGACATGCTGCAACAGTAAAACAACAAACCATTAATATTTGGTGGCTATTTTGTACGTTTGGATCTATAATCCATACTTACAAGATCAGCTACTGGAGATTTTTTCCTGTTCTGTTTTTCCACTTCTACTTGCATTTTGGCCATTGGTTTTGCCATAGCCAAGGCCATTTTGGCTTCAGCTTGCAGTTTCTTTTGTCTAGTGAGAAAATCCATGTCATCTAGGGATTCAGATTCCTCTTCAGTAGTATCTCTATCAGAGTAGGAAGAACTTTGCTTGCTCTAGGGAAGGTCACAAACACAGCCAAATTTTGAAATATTTAATAATGTTCACATCTAATGCAAATAATATTGCTGTAAAAATGTTTTGTTTTAGGTTTCAAAATTTTCATGCACATAAGAGTGAGAAAAATATCTTCTGGAGAAATGGAGATCATGTCATTTTATTTACAGGTTTCCCTCACTTTATGTGGGTCCTGTACGTGCAAATTCACTCGTATGCGATGACCCTTTTTATACCAAAAATTTGTTATATGCGAAGTAAATTCACTCTTATGCGATCAGTGTGGTGGAAGCCTGCAGTAAGCTGCTTTGTGCAGTGTGCTGTAGAAATGATGGGCACTAAAATAGTTTCCTGTGTGGCTCTGTGCTCCTCATTCGTCTGCAACATGTGTTTCTGTAACTGTCAGCCCCATTATGATAGTGCCCTGTGCTTGTGTGTACTGTCCTGCTGTTGGTGAGTGCCAAAATTGTCTTGTAAAAGTGGTATAAATGGGTCTGGGGATCAGTACAGTCAAGGTCTTGGAACGTATCCCTATCTTTTACATTGTAAAGCAGGTTCCCTTTGTGCGAATTTGAGTTATGCATCACTTTCCAGGAACGCATGTACAGCATAAAGTGAGGGAAACCTGTATTTTATCAACAAGACAGCTTTTAAATATCAAACACAATTTTTCAAAACATTAACTCTTACAAGCTCTGAGCTCTTACAAGCTGCTAGCAACTTGAGCATTTTTAATTGGAGACTGGAGCCAGACAGATTAGCAAGTGTTTGAAGGGAATGTATTTGTTCTGATTCTAGGAAATCCTGCCAAGGAATGAGGGCCTTGTGTTATGTTTATATGTGGGAGCAGGGGAGAAGTCAGGGATCATCTAGTTTCCTTGATTAAATACTCTTCAGAAGGAAGGGGTGTGAAGCTGATGCTATTTCATATTTTTCCGTTTCTAGTGTTACAAATCCATAAAAGGGAGAATGCACAATAGAAGAGGATTTATTCATGTCAAGTATATCTGGGCTACCTATGGGTAATCTGCCCACCTTACCCAGTAACTAAAATATTTTTACTGATGGAGTGTGTGTTTTTTTTTTAATCCAGATTATTTTAATAGGATTAATGACAAGCTTTTCCTTAGCTTATATTTTCTTATCACTTTGTGCTTTAAAACCTTTTTCTTCTTCTGCAAGGCCTTTTATTGGATTAGTTTTCAGACTTACCATCGGTGACAAAGGTGTATCCAAGCTTGTTTCAGTCTTGCTGTCATCGGCATCACTATCCTTGTCACTGCCACTGTCATTTACAAAACAAATCTGCAAGTTCATCCCACTTTGTAGCCTGGGAAAAAAAATAAAGATAAGCATCAGCACAACCTACTTCAACAGCAAGTCCAAAGTACTTGTATGTTGATACCAGTAATCGCTGCTTTCTTGACAATAACCAATATGGTGACTCCCATCTATAGCCTCTTTTAAAGGCTCTTTTTATTTCTAGCAGGGACAGTAAACTGATTATAAATAAAGCTAAACTGACTTAATTGATTCTGGAGCACTGAAGAGAAATAAAGTACAATTAGTAAACAAGGAACATAATAAGCAAGTACATTTCTTTCACTTTTAGTAAATCTAGGGTGCCAAAGTAACATCTATAAAGCAGTACGTTTAGTATAAAGTGCTAGATCCCCTGATGGGATGTGGCTGAGGAAGTGCATGTTCAGCCCCAAAATAAATACAAGTTCAAAGGAGATCCTCTCATGTCGTAAAACAAATGTAGAAGTGCTTTTGTCATCCTCCATCCCCGCTTCTTGTACAACATCTCTCTCATCCACTGATTCCCCAACAAGGTAAAGTTGAATTCCCAAATTCTTCAGCCAAGACAACAGCAAAGTCAAAAATAAGACCCATCTTTTTCAGCTGGTTGTCCTTTCTTCCAGCTCAGCACCAAAACATAATTTTAATGTTACTGTGTTTTCAACTAAAGTAACTGCATTAAGCCTCTTCTGCTGCACAATGGAACTATGGACTCGCATTGATTTGTCTGCTCCACAAGCACCAAATCTTGGAAAGCAGACAGCATTGCAAGGATGACCACACATCCTGTTTTCTCCAGGATTGTCCTGTGTGAAACATTTGTCCCAGGAGTCTGGTCAGTTTGAATGCTTTTCTCCCATTTTCAGTTGGAATGCAGCAGTGGCTACGCTCTTCAGCCAGGGAGTGCAAATAGAGGGTTGCCAGTCCTCCAGCATCCCTCACAGCGCTCTGACGCTTCTTTCCCCCATCCATCTCTGGTGCACTCACCAGCTTGGAGAGAGCTGAGCATGCCCTTAGAGAGTGGGAGGGAGCAGAGCATCCTCTTTTGAGACTCAAGGAATATAGTCACCCTAAATATAGCTGTCTTAGAGCGGTCTTACGGGTATGCCCGTAAGTGCTCCTGAGAGCAACCCTGGGTGCTCTGGATAGCTCAGTATGTCTTCCCTAGCCTCATTGTTTTTCATTGTGTCAATACGTCATGCAAAATTTTATCAGCATCTATTTGAATATTTATGCCATCTCAGATCACTAATGAAAATAATGAAATGATGATAATAATGAAGCTGGTGCCTGTAGATCCCCTCTACCAACAGCCTCACTGGGGGATGATTCTCCACTGACAGCCACTTTTTGAGATGGGTCTATCAGCTGGTTACTAATCCATTTAATATGCATTTTACTGATACTGGTTTGTGCTAAAATAAAAAGTGCAGTAAGTCAACTGTCTTAGAACAGTCCAAGTACATTATATCCAGGCAGTTACCTTTGAAACCAAACTTGTGATCTCAAAGAATAAAAATCAGATTTGCCTGGCCAGGCTCATTTTCCACATAACTATGCTGATTATGCTGCACAAATTAAAGTATTAATTTAATGATAGGAATATAGCTGTCCACTGACTCCTGTAACAACTTTTCCACCGTTTTACTCTAGTTTTCGACAGGCTATCCCACTATTCCTTTCCATAAGCCATTCCCTCTTCTAATCTTTTGCATTTCTTCAGAACTTCAGGATTTATTAGAAATTAAGATCATTAGGCTAGAGGTCTCTTGAGACTTATTTTAGGAACTCAAGACGCAAATTCTACAGTAAACTTTAAACTTATACTTTAGGCATAAACAAAGGGAAAAAAGACAGCAATGTATTCCTTTGAACCAGGACACCAAGGCACATGGGAATAGGGAAATCTCGTAGGGAATAATCTCCCTTTTATGTGCAAGAAACAATGGGTATAAACCCCCTGGCTCAAAATGGGAATGCACTATACAGGCGGAAGTCATTAGGAGTTAAGAATTCTTCTGACAACAAAGTTCATGTTGTGCTTCCAGAGAACATGTAAAAGAGTCTAAAGGAAAAGCAAGGATGGCCTGGCTGCAGTGAAATGGGAAGACACTTGTAGAAAATGTATAAAATTGTTCATCATTGACTCCAAGATGAATATGGGCCGGCAGTGTGGGGATGCAGTCAGGAAGACCAACTGCACCTTGTCATACATCCACAGATGCATTTCAAGCAGGTCCAAGGAGGTGATCCTCCCCCTCTATGCGGCACTGGTCAGGCCACAGTTGGAGTACTGCGTCCAGTTCTGGGTGCCGCACTTCAAGAGGGATGTGGACAGCAGAGAGGGTCCAGAGGAGGGCCACTCGCGTGATCAGGGGACAGCAGGGCAGGCCCTATGAGGAGAGGCTCCAGGACCTGAACCTGTTCAGCCTCCACAAGAGAAGGCTGAGGGGGGATCTTGTGGCCTGTTATAAACTAGTCAGAGGGATCAGCAGGCATTGGGGGAGTCCCTGTTCCCCCGAGCACCGCCAGGAGTGACCAGGAATAAC